AATAGCACATGATCAAGAAGAAATCTCTAGAGACATTATACAACATATTGAGCTAACTAAAATAAAAATACAACTTATTAAATTTGTGGGGTGTAGAGAAAAATATATAACACTGAATTCACAAGTCAAAAAAAAAAACTGAAATCAATAACTTACGTTTCTACCTTAGGAAACAGAGAAATTTGATAAAATTAATGAAAGCAAACAGATTAAAAATAATAAAAATTTGTGGTAATCAATAAAATTGAAAAGAGAAAATCAAGAGATAAAGTACCTGAAGCTCACAGTCAGTACTTTGCTAAGATCAATAAAATTGATAACATCTAGGCAAGTTAACTAACAACAAAGTAAATATAACATCAGCTGCCAAAGAGAGGTTATCACTAATGATCCAGACATTAAGAGTTAAGAAATATTGTGAATAGGTCTATACCCACCAATATGGTAACTCAGGTGAAATTCCTTAAAGGACACAATATGCTAAAACTTACACAAGGAAAATTTTTAAATATGATTAGGTCTACACCTATAAAGGAATCAAATCAATAATCAATAGCTTGTCAAAACAGAAATCATGGAGCCTGAATGAGTTGTGCTCCATCTACATTCAAGAATATTGTTGTATCAGTTTTCTACAATTTCTTTCAAAACATTGTATGAGGTCAAAACCAGACAAAAACATTATAAGAAAGGAAGACTAACACCAAAAATCAGTTTGCATGAACTGAAACATGCAAAATTCCCCAGAAAATGGTAACAAAAAGTATCCTAAAAATAAATTAAAAAATATATTGCATCATAGCCAACTTTGATTCATTCCAAGTATGCAAAATTAGAACAGTATTTGAATACCTATCAGTGCAAACTATCACATTAAAAAACAAAAGAAGAAAATCATATAATCACCTTTAAGCATGGACAAAATCATCTTGCAAAATCACCATAAGTAGTTATGTTGATGAAAATTCTCAAGAATTTTCAAGTAATAAATTCTCAAGTAATAAAGGGGAACTTTTTCAACTTGATAAGGAACATCTATAAAATTCCTATTAGCATCACACATTATCAGTGATGAGAAAGGAAATGTTTTGCAGCTAAGATCAGGGACAAGACAAGCATCACTCCTGTTTGGCATCATAATGTATATTTTAATTATTGCAATAAAACAAGAAAAGGAAATGAAGGCTATACAGATTGGACAAGAAGGAATAAAACTATTTTTGTTTCAAAATGATACACTTATCTGAAAATTTCTTATGAGAAACAACATAAATGATAATAGATTTCTCTTGGAAAAATAAGTTATAAGAATACAGCAGTAAGATTAATATATGAGAATAAATTGCTTTCTTGCATGGCAGCAATGAAAAATTGGAATTTGAAATAAAAAAAGAAATACATTTATATATTAACTTTATATTAAAATGAATTCTTAGTATTACTATAACAAAATACTGTACATATGAAAAGTTTCAATTCTGATGAAAAATAATAAATAAATAAAAGGAAAGATATTCCACATACTTGGTAGATAGGAAGACTTAATATTACTGGAACATGAATTGATCTATATACTATAAGCCAGGTCAATCAAAATACTGGCAAATTATCACATGGTATTTACAGACTGATTCTAAAGCTCAAATGAAAAGACAAACTATGCGGAACAGTCAACATAAAGAACAAATTCAGAGGACTGTCACTACCCAACTTAGAAATAAAATAAAAAATTTCAATATTTAAGACAATATCTAATAGAAAGAATGGATAAATAGATTAGTGGAAGAAAAACAGAGAGCCCAGAAAGAGATCCATACAAATACAGCTCACTAATCTTTGACAAAGCAAAACAAGCAATCAAAAAATATAATTCAATGGCAAAAGAATAGTCCTTTTGCAAGTGGCTACAAAACAACAGGAAAACCTATATGCACAAAAGTGTATTCATACACAGACCTTATAACATTTGCAAAACTATCTCCCAATGGAGTATGGTGGAACACTATCAGTGTCTCAGTTTTAGACACAGGGTGGCAACATGTATCTGAGGAGGTGTGGATCTGTACCCTAAACCATATACCTGTTCTAAGCCAAATTACTTCAAATTAATTAATGAAATGAATCATGTATCTAAAGGTAAAATGTAAAGACTACGAAATTCATATAAAATAATATAGGAGTCTATCTGGTTCACCTTGGATTTGTTGAAATTATTTTAGATGCAAAACCAAAGAAACGATAATTGAACAGTACTACTTTAAAAATATATATATTATTTGTCAAAGGGAATGTGAAAAGAATGAAATGACAGGTCACAGACTGGAAGAAAATATTTTCAAAACACATGTCCAATAAAGGAATGGTATCCCAAATGTACAAAAGCATTTAAAACTCAGCAAAAACAAGCAACTTGAGCATTCAGCAAAAGATGTGAAGACACTTTACAGAGGAAGATATGCAGATGGCATGTGAACAAATGAAAATTTGCTCAATACTACATGTCATTAAGGGGCTGCTGATCAAAACAGTGAGATCTCACTGTACACATTGAAAACTCCAGAATACTAGTAACACCAATGCTCACCAGAATTTAGAGCAACATGAATGTTCATTTCTTGCTGGTGAGAATAATAATAGAGTTTGGCTATGTCTTACAATGCTAAACATGCCTTACTATCCAGAAATTGTCTTTTGTGTTTACCAAATGTGTTTATATATATATATATATATAT